AATAAGGTGTAAAAAAAAATTGAGAGTAGACGAGAGACCATTATTTACAATTAACCATTAAAAGTAAGAGAGCCTAACATCACAAAAGGAGGGAGGGGGTGCATTTGACCAACATTCATGACGGTGGGGCGATAACCTCAATCTACCCATGTCTGTGTGGCAGAACATTTTGTCTTCGAGATCAACAGGCTGCTTTTCTTATGGATCAATCGTGTACTGACCAAACTGCTACATTACGGATCATTGTGGAGCAATCACTTGAATGGATTTCACTACTCTACATCAACTTCATTGGCAATGAAAGCAGATGTAGAAGCAACTACGAAAATATTTCACATCCTCTTCAAGAAGATTTGGGATGAGGAACAAGTACCATCAGATTGGAAAGAAGGATACCTCATCAAAATACCAAAGAAAGGCTATCTCAGCAAGTGTGAGAACTACAGAGGCATCACTCTTCTTTCAATACCAGGCAAAGTCTTCAACAGAATGAAGGACTTCGTAGACGCCCAACTTCGAGATCAACAGGCCGTATTTCGTAAGGATCGATCATGTACTGACCAAATTGCTACATTACGGATCATTGTGGAACAATCAATTGAATGGAACTCACCACTCTACATTAACTACATGGACTACGAGAAAGCATTCGATCGCGTGGATAGGAAAACACTGTGGAGGCTTCTTCGACACTACGGGGTGCCTGAGAAAATAGTTAACATCATACGGAATTCTTATGATGGATTCAACTGCAAAATCGTGCACGGAGGACGGTTGACAGACACGTTAGAGGCGAAGACCGGTGTCAGACAAGGCTTCCTACTCTCACCCCTTCTCTTTCTCCTGGTGATCGACTGGATTATGAAGATGTTGACATCTGATGGGGGCAGCACTGCATACAGTGGACAGCCAGGATACAGCTTGACGATCTGGACTTTGCAGATGACCTGGCTTTTCTATCGCACACGCATCAACAAATGCAAGGGAAGACGACCAGTGTAGCAGCGGACTCGGCAGCAACAGGTCTCAATATACATAAATGGAAAAGCAAGATTCTGTGATACAACACAACATGTGTCAACCAAATCACTCTTGATGGAGATGTCTTGGAGTGTGTAAAACGACAGTCTATAGTATCCCTCAGTGTCCATACTTTAGATCACTCGATGCAAACACCACAGAGGAAGCAAGACACCTATTCTATTCCTGTAAAAACCAGCAAGCTAGTTGAGAATAGGAGAAAAAGACGTTCAAAGGCTCACTTGACACAGTCCAACGTCCGGAAACCGCATAAGGACGACTGTTTTGTCTGCTCATTACGAGTCAAAATTAGTGACTTTGCTTTTGAATTCAACTTCTGTAGTACATGGGTACATCGGCACTGAGACAATACAGTACCTAAAGAGTACTCATGTCTGTAACCTTTCACTGGTTTTTACTTCCTACCGAGAAATCCTATTACAAACTGGTCTGGACAACTATACTAAAAAAAGAGCTCATTCATAACTTCTTGAGCCTCACAGTTAAAAATAAAAAGAATAAATAAAACAAAAAATTATATCAGTGAGCCTCTTTATTATATTTTATAAATCAACATTTTTATCAACAACTTGGTTCTTCTGAATTTCCTCTATTCATTCGACCAACTTCCCATTAGTTATCTCACTACTGAATTGTCTTCATTAACCTAAATAAGTGCAGGTGTACAGTTTTTGTTATGATATTAAAAAAGTCTGAGTAAACATACCTTTGTTTTATCCATAAACGTATGTGCAAAGCCGTTGTTCGGCTTTGAACACGAATATTTTCTGTTCCGCTCCTCGTCCCGTTTTCTTCATTCCTCTTTTTTCAGAACCTTATTCCAATCCACATATATTAGTCTGGATATTTGCAGTAGACTTGGTTACCCTACCCAAGAACATGTGAAATCATTAGCTGATAAATATCAACCAGACCTTTGTACATTTACCGCATCAATTCTTGTTATATGAAAACCTATCTCTACCATGAATCGTTTCTCAGTCCATAAGATGATTGTCGTAACGCAACCTTCGTAACTTGCACCAATTATTCGCATTGTACATTCTATCTTTAAGAAAACAATGAATCTTGTGAAATGTTTCAGTAACTGTATACCGTTTTAAAAGAAATATGTTGCTAATCATAACATTTTGATCTTGCCTGTAAATTGGCATGTCTCTTGTAACATGTTTGTTATTTGATAATAAATTATTATTATTATTATTATTATTAAAACGCAAGTCGAGAAAATGACGAGAAACACGTCTCAGGTTTAGACGCAAAACAAATTAAAAATGTACGAGTTGAAAAAGCTTTGATGTAATGATTTTTGGGATCGCTTCAAAGTCAGATGTCCGACTTTGTCTTTACTGGGCAGAAAGCATTGACTTCACAGATTGTATGAGGTTTGCTTGAGCTCAACTCCGGCTGTCGCCACTCTGAAGCTACTACCCATCCCAAGTCCGGATAAAGGAGGAGGGTTGGGATTAAGGTTGGCGACCACGTCCCACCAAAAAACCAACTCGCTAAAAAACGCTAACCGGTAAACATAATTCAATTTTAACTCTGCCCTTGGAGTTAGAGGGTCTTCTTTAAGAAGAGTTATGACGTCTCATGATGAAAGACGAGTTTCTTTAGACGTCATCGGGCTGATGCCCCTTTTGAAAACAAGAACAGGAAGATTGTTAGAAGGTAGGGCTACCTTCAACAAAGAGCAGTGTGATAAACACTGCACAAACCTCCGCATTTGCAACGCCCCAGCCAAAATATGCCGCATTTTCAAAGGCCAAACTGTCTCTAAAGGAAATGCCCCTCCAATTAGGGTAACTCTTGACTCGGCACGACTTGCTGAAGACATTATCCTTTCATCTCAAAGACCATCGGTCAAATTGTCCTCGCTGGTTCGTATCAGGCATGACAAGCCGTGGCCGGTACGTGCAGCAGACAGAACTGCGCCAGACACCCAAGAACAGACCACCATGGTAGTTCATGGTATACCCGAACTCACCAGCGGTAACCCGGACGAAGCTCACGAACACGATGCGCGACGGTGGCGATGGCTATCGCGTAGCCTACTCCTTCACACCACAATGGCAGTTTGCATTTCTAGGTTGCCCCGCCCGTCACACCTAACGTCCATCAAGTCAACACACCTGATGGCTGTGACATTTAGGAACCGGGAAGACCTGATTGAAGCTTGGTACAGTTCGAGGAACGATCTGTCTAGACACATCAGGTGTTGCAATAGCCGACCTAGATCTGTGAGACAACAGCAAGGAGGCCTTAATGAACGCACAAAACTGACAGTTAACCTCGGTCAACAACCCCTGGCACAAGACACGATTGAACTCATTGCACAGGCAAAATAACCTGCAGAGGCCAGTTCCCACAGAACTGGCCAACTCGGTTTGAATAACGTGTTTGAAAATCCGACAACGGTTGCTGCTGCAGAAGCGCATCAGTTGCTGAGACAAACCACCAAGTGCCTCTATAGAAACGTAAGAGGACTAAGGGGTAGGCTGTTAGAAATCAGGAATATGTGCTCTCAGATGAATTCAAGATCGTAATCCTAACTGGAATATGGCTGTCCCCTGACATTGCAGACGAAGAAGTGAGCTTGACAGGCATGACACTCTTCCGAAGCGATAGGGCACAAAAAACTGGAGGCAGAGTGGCTACATATATAAACAGCCACTTAAAAGCCGAGCGGCTATGCGACACCCGAGCTACAGGAGAATCAGAGGTGATTTGATTATGACGTACAACTTATTAAGCACCCCAAACCATCTGAACGTGAGCATCTTACCGATGCATCACCACCACTCCTCTCGAGACAATCCTCGAAAGATTGCACATCAAAGAGCGAATACTCAGATTCGTGCACACTTTTTCTCATTGCGAGTCGTCGCAACTTGGAATGCTCTCCCAGCCGAGGTGACCACAGCCCCCTCAGTGGACAGCTTTAAGAAGAGACTTGATAATCATGTACTCACGTACGGATTATCATCCCCCTCTTGGACAAGCTGTTCATGATGTATATCTTGAGACCTGCAAGTTGCTATAATAGCCAGATCAGATCAGATCACTCAATTAATCTATTTCGCCTATTATCTCTGTATCCTCTCCCTTGCTTACACTTCGTTCCTCTCTCACAATCTTCACTACCAATTAATAAACTAAATCATATATATTACTTAGTTCTGAAATTTTATTCATAGTGGCATTATAATTTTATCCTTATTATACTTATTACTCTCCACATTGCAACTAACCGACCTCCGGTCGGTATCCACTGGTATCCAGAAACCCTACTGCCCTGAAAGAAACGTTTTCACTCAAATCCCGAGACATACAAACTCACAACCAACTGCCAAGTGACTAGAATTAGACTGTTGAGTGGCTAGACCCTTATTCATCGGACACTACCGAACACCTAAAACCGTACCGAAAGAACAAGAATCGAGCGCAAAGAAATCAAATTGGTTTACACTAGCTCGGGAAAAAGATATTGGATATTGGAATGTCAAGACAGTTTATTGTATGGAGCGGAAACTTGGAGAAATATCGAAGCTATCAGGCAGAACATACAAGTATTCATCAACAGTTGTCTACGCAAAATACTTCAGATCCGTGGGCAAGACACCATCTTCAGGATAATGCAATTCAAAACTGACGACAAAAGAAGCGTGAAAAAACAGCGTATTTTGTTACTTGATATGTTGTATCAGTGGACATAAGTTAGGTGAATTCTGTTTCGGCGCTGTTTTTAATCTTCGGGTATTCTTAATCTCATGCTTGTCTTGTTATGACTTATTGATCTCTTAGTTATTTGATGTAGTCCTATTCTTTGTACATATTTAACTTTCGAATGATCCTTGTTTATTGAATTTCAGATTCTCCCACTACTTATTTCAACAAACAACATACCCTCAGGCTAGACGATAACACACTGGTGGCTAAAGGCTACACATTTTGGTCACATGTTGAAGCAAAAGGAAGATGTACTTCTCATGGTTAAGCATGTACGATATAAGAAAGTCGATGGGACTCTGTATGTCAACTCAGGCAGAGTGGCCTGGCGCAACCAAACTTCTGATAGTTTCCGCATCAGTGCTAAATTTGAAGACATCAGAATACAACGTATTAGTCCAGACCAAAAGGAAAAAGTCCAACTTCAGTTATTGATGCACAGTGGGGAATCATTTACGTTTCAGTTTTCGGATCCTACAGGCAGAGATAAGCAGCTTGAAATGCGTAACAACGTGAAATCAATGCTACAAAATTTGCTACCCAAATTTAAAGACAAGGTAAGTTCGGTTTCTACCATATGAACTTTCTATAAACACTGGCATAACAGAATTAATTGCATTGTAATCCATGTTTGCTACTCGATTTGCAGTTACATGTTGTTTGTGAAAACTCGAAATTTTGGTTCGAACATAGGTCTTACCCTTTTAAGTATTGTGCGAACCAAGCTCATTTCTGAAGAAATCGATGTTTCAGTAAGTGCCGCCTTATTAAAAAAGCAAGGATACACCTTTATTACTAAGATTTGGAAATTGTCTTCTGATAGCTGCTGGAGCAGCCACGTTTCTGCACTAACGTAGAATCAACTTAAAACGCACTGCTAAATAAATACCTGGATTTGTTCGGTTCACGATAGCAGAATCTCAGTTCCCCAAAAACACATACTGACATGTGTTGGTTGTTTGTTTTGAATCTGAAACTTTCAACCAACAGGTGAGTAAAAAACTGGCCGTTTTTTAATCTTCATGGATTTCCTTCCGTATGCTAGTTTGAAAGTATCAGCCAACTCCTGTAGTGGGCCTGGAGTTGATGAACTTCACTTCGTTTTTCGCTATTGTCTTTACCGTCAGAACAATTCATTTAACTACCAAAATGATCGCATAGTTTTCATTCCTCACCACAATAATGGCTGATGAGTTACAACGAGTATTAAATATTATCGTAGTCACGAAATGCCGTTTCCTTATTAGGTTAGTAAGAGACCCTTACAACACTTAACACTTGAACCACCCTTTTTAAACTCAATTTCAGCCACTGATCACATAAAAGCACTGATCAACTATGTTTCAAACTCTACCAGTGTTCTATGACATCGTATAATGTATCTATCAAATTAGGACATATTATGGTCTGTCTAAATGACTGGTACCTAGTTCAGTTTGGCTGCATATGCTGAGTACATATCCGAGTCTAACTATACCTCCACATCAATTTACTTAATTCTTGTGCTCTAATCTCGTGACCACACATCAAATTCTTCGAAAATTCAAATATCTAGGAGCACCAACCGCACTGTCTAAAGAGCATTTTCCGTCTAATTCCACTGGTAGTTTCATGTGTATAGTTGTATAGAAAAATTCACTCGAGAGATCGGCTGATTTGTCCGTATATGTATTGGTTCTTTTTAAAGCTGATCGTCAATAAATTTTACTTGTTGACCATGCAACATCTGCCCATTCTGTTGCACCACATACATGCTCAGTTACTTCGCTAAAAACAAGTCACGCAACAGTACTGTTACAGAATTATCGTAATCAGATTTAACATCTCATTAATATTCAGGTACACCAGTATTGTGTTCTCCTAGCCCAAAAACAATTTTTTTTTATTGGTTTCATTCCAGACCCGCTACCTAATACTCAAGATCATCCGATGTTGATTTGTCGTAGTTTAGTGTAAGATAAAGGCTAGTTTTCTCTAGTCCAAGATGTTGCTAAAAATATGGTGGATTAAGGTATTTCACGTTTTAAAATCATGCCGACCAATCATTATGCTACTTTTTAAGTGGCATATTAATAGAGTTCCCAGCAATCTGATAACTAGTTAGTTTTTTGACAAGTTAATAAATATTTTGGAGTTCTCTCTACATTGAATCTCTATCACTGGGTAATAAATTGAGTTACGTTTTTATTTTTGACGTAGATGTGTAAAATATGGTGCCAAGAACACCAAATAAGGTGATCATGTGAATAAATTAAATATCCTGTACCAGTGCCAAAAAATTCTTAAGGATTCTTCCCACGTATGAACACAAAATAATAAAATGTCATTGCTCCCAAAAGATTTCCTTTTGTACAGAATTGCAGTAAACCCAATTTACTATTTTTACTGACTTCTGGATCTAGGTATACGCTAAAAGTTTAAACCAAGTTGCATGATATGGAACATTTCATTTAGTCATTCGTGGTAACCGCCTTCAGCTGACATGAATTCAACAAGTCACATATCTAGACCAATAAACAGCTGGAGTTGCTATTACGTAGAATGGGTAACTCAGTTGGGGTTAGAGACTGGGAAGTTTGTTCCTTTAAACCGGTATTCGCATAAAGTTTATTATTGGTTTAGCAATATCAGTTATAAATCTGTTTCTTTAATACGCTTAAATTCTGGCGCGACAACAAAAACAAATAATATTGAGGCAATGCTTTTTGCAGAAGAATTCTCATTGCCCCTACAAGCTGGCTTCAGAGTTGTTTCCCGGATGTCACCAATAGCAAAACTGGGGAAAGTTCTGGAGAGTAATTTCCCCAGTCCGCTGATCCATGATAACCCATTGCAAATATATTTACCTTTCGCTGTTTCGAGGCGTATGACAGCATAAAATTCAGTTTTCATCACTCTCCCTATATTTTGTCAGCATTATCTTATATTAGTGCTAAATTATTCCCATAATTTATAGTCAGTACCATTCCGTTGTTACCAGTGAATCAAAGTTAGCGATTACGATTCGTAACCTCGAAAATTTTAGTTACCTGTTACACATTTAAGCTTTGACCATTCGACCAGCTAATAAGAATATTAAGTATCGATCTAAAAGGGTTGTTTTAGTTCGTAGATGAATGTTATAATTGTATATCGTTTAAGGTGGCTCATTCGTACGTTACACATTGGAAGTCACACACTACTGCATCTTACGATTTCTCTTAGAAAGTAAGCTGATTGACCGAAACTCTCCCAGAAGCCAGTCCGTTGACACCCTGAATGTTGATTTAAGTGACGACATGAATTGTAGAAAAGACGACCCTAAGCAACAATGCAAGCATGTTTGGGATGCGGTTTTCCTCCTTGAAACGCAAAATGTTGCTTCAAGAATGGCGTGCATCGGCACCTGAACCAGTGATAGGGAGTGAAGTAGTCGAACATGTAGACCGCTTCACTTACCTTTGGAGTCTCATCAGCGCTGATAGCCTGGTGACTGACGAAATTTCAGCACGGATACAGAAGGCTCAATTGGCTTTTGCCAACCTGCGTCACTTATGAAGCAGGCGAGCTATCCATTTGTTGACTAAAGGACGAGTGTACTGCGTAGTAGTTCACTCTGTCCTACTTTATGGCTGTGAAACATGGCCAGTGAGAGTAGAAAATATTCTTAGGTTACTGGTTTTCGATCATAGGTGTCTTCGAAGCATTGCTTGTATATCCTGGGACAACGGAGTAAGCAATGGTGTTGTTAGGAAACGGGTGCTAGGTAAGGATGGCAGATCAATAGATGAAGTAGTGAAACTTCATTATTTGAGGTGGTTGGAACATGTGTTGCGTATGCCTAACCACCGACTGCCTCGTCAAGCTATGTTTTGTAGTGTAGGAATAGGTTTGAAGAAAGTTAGGGGTGGCCAGACCAAAACATGGCAGAAATCCATGAAGTCACTGACAAGTGGACTGAGTCATGTTGGTAGTTGTTGACTACCTGGTTGGGGCCCGAGAGATGATAATAATCGATGGTTAGAGACCCTGAATGACATGTCTCAAAACCGTTTACAATGTCGCAGGTGCATTCATTCTTTGTGTTCTCTCAAATCCTGAACTTTTTAATTCTTCACTTTATTTTTGTCTTTTTAAGTCTATTTCACTAGATTCTACTTCTTGAATAATATCTTCTAATCCTAACCTCTCCGACTACTGCTAATACCTTTACTACCTCTACTACGATTGGATTTGAATTGACAATTACATCTCTGTGCTGATGTGGTATGGCAACATGAACTGACGTATGTACGTTGTTATTGATTGGTTGATTGATTGTAGAGAAGACTTCCATTTTTTACATCTTTTGGAATCAGTCTCAGCAATTTGTATGCGTTCATTCCTCATATTCCGAATTATTTTATATCTGATTATTTACTTTCCATGACATGCACCATTCTTGATTATTGTAAAAGCTTTTCCGTGTAGGTTAAGTTGCTCTTTGTTTACTGTTTTTAAAATGCTTCAGATTAATTCGTTTGGCGTGTGATTCTTTATATCTAGTCTCTTCGTTTATTACACTAACTGTCCTAATTTTTACGGACAGTACCATTCATCAAGTATACATTGGTCATCTGTTGCAGTTTAGATGTATTTCCCATAAATTATATTCAGTTTTCTTGTTCTCTAACTATCTCATTTCAGCGTGGATAATTAATTACTACTTATTTGTTCATGTTTCAAACATATTTTTTTTCACTCGACACTCATATACTTTCTTGTTTTCAAGGCTCAAGCCGAATTGAAGGAAAAATTTAGACTCCTCGAATCAAATCCTGAGATTTTGGCATTATACAAAGAGTTGGTTGTTAGCGGTATACTCAGTTCTGAGGAGTTCTGGGCTCGACCAGAATGTTCTCGCAGTAACTTTAATTCGTCCCAGTATCTGAATAATTCTAAAGCTAATAATAAAGCCTCAGGAGCAACTGGAATATCAGAAGCAGCTCCTAATGGTACAACTGCGTTGTCTCATAATAATATGTCTGTTGGTCCTACTAGCCAGATTTCACGAAGTTTTCATTTAGATGATCGACCTCAAGTTATTGGAGTCCCTAGTTGTCTTTTGAGCGATATCAAGCCTGAGGCAGATGGTGCAAACGGAATAAAGTACAATCTTACTCATGAAACAATCAATGCAATCTTTCGAGCCTACCCTACTGTACGTGATAAACATCGGGAAATGGTGCCTGATAAGTTATCTGAAGCTGACTTTTGGATAAAATTTTTCCAATCTCATTATTTTCATCGGTAAGTGTTTGTTCTTGATAACCTTAATCTTAACTCCTTAAATATCAAGTCAGCATTAAGTTTATTTGTTTGTTCATATACTTTTATTTTATTTATTTACTTAGAAAAAGCCATTAAAACTAATGAGATATATTGTGTTACACAAGTTGTATTTATTAGCGTAGATTGATGTATTTAAAAATATCGGTTGTCCTGTCTAAAAACACTTTCTGGATCACGTTAAACGATCTAAAGATGTTCTATAAAGTAGCTGAACGAGTGAATGTGTACGGAAAATTAGTATCTATTCCAGCAACTTCTACAACTTGAACGATAAATTTTCTATCTAAAAATAATCAGATTTGTGCATGAAATGGGTGAGTTTATTCGGTAATGTTTTAATAAGATTCTACGATGCCGCTCTTAATAATTTATATATTTAAACACAATTATTAGTGCAAAGGGTCATACAAATATTTATGCGCCACACAAATTATTGGATTTGTTAGTTGACTGGAATACCTCAGGAGACACAGTCGCATGGTAGCCGATGACCAACGATGGGTTCATACGCCATTTGTTTCCTCAAAATCCTGGAGAAAATCGGGATTTTCCAACTCCATCAGGTAAATCCTCCATACCAAACCGACGTTAGCGCCGGAGATTACAGTATTCACTAATGAATCAGAAAATAGCACAAGTTGGTAATTCCATCAGCATCACAATGAATGATATAACAAATAAAATCGTTTTACATTGTAACTGACTATGAATTTGACTGCCCTTAAAACATCTAAGCGTCAAGGTTAGGTGGTAACACTGAACATAAATTTTTGTTACCACCTCATTTGATAATTTCACAATTATAGGGTAGAGTAGAAACCCTTTAGTAATAAGATATGCCTATCAATGTCCCATTCTGGTTGTTGTTGCGTTGCAAGCAATTAGTGTGTCTGAAAGGTGACCGAAACTGCCACTCGTAGTTTTCTTCAATGTCCCCGACAACTATTATGAGCTATTTATCAGCCGTGTTTTCTTTAGTGCCATCTTCATTAACCAACACGTTTTACCAATTATTTTCACTAGTAAACCGTAATAAATTTCAATCGTTTTCTAGCGCCGATGGTAGGTTGCTTTCTTGATAACTGCTTTTACCACATACTCATGGATAAAATATCAACAAAATGGGTCTAGGGGGAAACTTACTTTCAGAACATCTGTTTTCAAACACTAACATGATGTAGCCCCCAATCTTAGTAGAAATGTAAATATTTATGTTTATTGCGGTTCAACCGATATTCTTAACAAAACGTATTTAGAAAAGAATTTCATTAAACCCAATTCAACTGAGATACCGTTACAAACGTAGCCTGTCAAGCACATCAAGATACCATAGATCTTAGATATGTTTATCTTCCTGGTTGTTTGACAACACTTGGATTTCAAATTCTGTAAAATATGGCTTTCAAGTTATCTGTATATTATGAGCACTCCGCCTATAGACCCTTCGGGGCTACTGTCGGTTCCAAGCCCGGATAAAGGAGGAGGGTTGGGATGGGGGTTGGCGACCCCGTCCCGCAAAAAACTAACTCGCTAAAAAAACGTTAACAAGAAAAAATAATTCAAACCATATAAACTGTGCTCTGCGAGTTAAAAGGTTTTCATTTAGAAGAGTTATGACGTTTCGTGATGAAAGCCGAGTTCCTTACGAAGTCATGAAGCCGATGCCCCTAGTGACAACCAGAACCCTTCCACAGTGTGGGAAGCTGCCCTCATACTCATAAAAGCATACAATACCAAATTAGTCAGTCAAATCCTTTCATGGGCATCCCAGTAACGGCAAATTTTACTAATTGATTGATAATATTTTGCCAGTACAATTTTTGTCATTTTAAATTTAATATTATTTTTAGTATTTCTCCTAAAGTTGTGGGACCGTTATTTCATTGATTTAATTAATGTAGCTAATTTGAATGAAATCTACTAAATTCAACTCTCGAAATGTCTATACATATTTTGAATACGTCTTTGATTTGTTACTTTTATCTGAATTATTTTGACTAAAATTTTCCGTTTTATCACTTCTGTTGTTAATATAATAATAAGTGTTGGTGAATACTTCCATTTATTTAGTGACCGAGTCCATCTTCCGAAGAATGATATATTTGCTGATTGTGCTACCATTGATGATAAGCTCTTGCTCAATGATATAAGGAAGTCAAGAGTCAGTCGAAATAATGTCCATTTTGATTTACCTAATCTTACTGATTACGACATAGGACAAGGTTATGGTATTGATCAGGTGTCTGCTCAAGCAAAACAAAAATTAGCTGACGTATCGGTCTCGAATCAGAATGCAGAGAATACATCAAACGAATCAACAATATCAAATAATTTATCTGCAAATCAGTTGTTACTTCGTCGTTTCAACAATCATTCAATACTCGTTTTAAAATCTCTTAATTCAAGTGATGCATCTTCATCGACTAATAATTCATCTCAAAATTCGAAAGATGTGCTTAATTCCTGTCCGTTGAAAGACCACGTATATGTTAAAGAGCTTGTGGAAGATCAAAACCCTCCAGAAATCCAGTTAGACTTAACCTGTATAAATGACTACTTAGAGGGTCCTACTCCTAGTATAACTGAAAAAGCTACCAAGTTAGTGGACCCATTATCAGTTACCCGGCAAACAGATACTTCGTTTTATGGATTACAAGTAGAGCAGTCAGTAAATAAGTGTAAAAATTCAATGATATCTGCTTATCACATGGGAAAGAAGCCAGGTGTATCACTTTTAACTGCACTTGAGTCCCAACAAGCATTAGCAGATGTCTCGCCTGGTGGTTGTCTCATCGGTGGGAAACTTAATAATGAACGCTCGAAAACATGTGACTTAACTAGCGAGTCAGTCAGGAGCAGTCATATATCGAACTCTCCGAAAGCGTCTGATGAACACCATTCGGGTGACGATGTCGATCGTGGTCCGCCACTGCTCACACTAGAACAGGGTAAAGATTTGTCGCTCTTATATTCAAGTGCTGCTGAACTCTTAAGACATTTCTGGGCATGTTTTCCCGTAACGACCCCGCAGCTAGCTGATAAGTTGGATCGTGTTGCTGCTAGTCTCAATCGTTTTCGCACAACCAAGGTAGCTCACTTCGCCGCTAGCGTTGATCCATCTTTCCGAAATAAATCAGACACTTATTCTGCAAACTCATCTGAACATCTATCCAACTCAGGGAATTCTGGATCTATTTCTTACCGTTCAAGTGTAACTAGTCACCTGGAATCGATGCTAGACTCCGCCCAAAAGAAATATTCTGAATGGAAAACTCGACATTCGCAATAATGTAGATATCTGTATAAATGAACCTTGTGGGACTGTTTTTTTCAATTTTCTGTTTCCTTTTCTCCTAGTTCCCTAATTTAAATGACTACTGTTTTGTAGCACCATGCCAAATTGTACATATTTACTTTCGGATATCAAGAAATTCACTATATACTTCGCACGACTCTTAAATTCTTTTATTTTTCTACATTTTTTATTGACATTGGTATCGTGAATTCCGAAAGTCACAAAATAAGCTGTTTTTTCACGCTTCTTTTGTCGTCAGTTTTGAATTGCATTATCCTGAAGATGGTGTCTTGCCAACGGATCTGAAGTATTTTGCGTAGACAACTGTTGATGAATACTTGTATCTTCTGCCTGATAGCTTCGATAGTTCTCCAAGTTTCCACTCCATACAATAAACTGTCTTGACAATCCAAAATCCAATATCTTTTTCACGAGCTATTATAAACCAATTTGATTTCTTCGCGCTCGATTCTTGTTTTTTCGGTACGGTTCCAGGTCTAGCCACTCTACTGTCCAATTCTAGTCACTTGGCAGTTGGTTGTGAGTTTATGTCTCGGGATTTGAACGAAACGTTTGTTTCAGGGCAGTAGGGTTTCTGGATACAAGCAGCTATCACATTACCAGACCGGAGGTCGGTTAGTTGCAATGTGGAGAGTAATAAGGATAATAAGGATAAAATTATAATGCCACAATGAATAAAATTTCAGAACTAAGTAATATATATGATTTAGTTTATTAATTGGTAGTGAAGATTGTGAGAGAGGAACGCAGTGTAAGCAAGGGAGAGGATACAGAGATAATAGGCGAGATAGATTAATTGAGTGATCTGAGGAGATGGCTATGATAGCAAGTTGCAGGTCTCAAGAAATACATCATGAACCGCTTGTCCAAGAGGGGGATGATAATCCGTATGTGAGTACATGATTATCAAGTCTCTTCTTAAAGCTGTCCACTGAGGGGGCTGTAACTACCTCGGCTGGGAGAGCATTCCAAGTTGCGACGACTCGCAATGAGAAAAAGTGTGCACGAATCTGAGTCTCCTGTAGCTCAGTGTAAGTAATCCCAAGTGCTGCAGTCTGTCGTCGTAAGGCTTATTTTTCAACCCTATCACTCACTGGGTTGCTCGTCTCTGCACTCGATCCAAGAGATTTGTCTCTTTTAAGCAGAGGGAGTGCGATGACATTGTGAACCTCCAGGCGTTGGCGCGCATACGTCTGAAACGGAGTCAAAAATAATTGCGGGGTGATAGTACCAGGTTGTCTTCGCATAAAGTGAAGAGTCGCGTTTGCCTCGGCTGCATCCCCAACATAGTTTGAACTGGTGTGGAGGCTTTCTTTGGTTATTAAACCAAGATCGCGCTCTGAGGAGACATTAAGGAGTGGACTTCCATTGAGGAAATAGATCGTTTGTGTCATATGAGGCAGGAAATGCATGACGTGACACCTCGGTCGGTTGAGTATTAAACCGTTTTCACTGCCCATTTCTCAATAGATGTAAGGTCCTTTTGAAGCTCAGTCGAATCCTCTTTGCTTCTAATGGACTTCGAGATCTTCACATCGTCTGCGTGGATCAATCCCGGTGAGATACCTAAGCCTGACAGGTCGTCAATAAATAACAGGAAGAGACGTGGGCCTAAGATAGTCCCCTGTGAAACTCCCGATGTGGATACTCGCCAGCTCACGTGCACTCTATTTATCTTGGTACGAAACTTTCTATTCTCAAGGTAGTTTCTGAGCCAAGATACGAGTGGGTCAGTGAAGCCCATTTCCGCCACCTTCGCAATCAGGACTGCGTGGGGTACTGTGTCAAAGGCTTTTGCAGTCCAAACAGGACGTCTAACTGTCCCATGGGATGAGAAGATTAGATGCACACGACCTGGTTTCCGAAACCCGTGTTGAGCTTCATGGAATATTTTTCTCATTCATGTACTCTCTCCACCAGCCATTCCTTTACCTTTTATAGTATTGTTAGTAATGCGACTGGTCTGTAACAGGCTAGGTCCTTTCTATCTCCTCCTTTGAAGATTGGAGAATGATTAGTTTGTTTCCATTCAGCTGGGCATTTCTGTGATTCCAGTGAATGCCTGAACAGGTCACATGTCGGTGAACAGAGGACTTCTACACACTGTTGCAAGACTATGGGGCGGATTTTGTTACAACCTGGTGACTTACCTGGGCGTAAGGATTTTAGTTTCCTTAGTCCTAAGTCAGGAGTGATACGGATATTCCTAAGCCGTCAGCTGGAGACGGGTTTGCGTAGTATTCTGAGCATGTGGATACCTGGTTTAACTGTTCAGTAAAGTTAGTGTTGAAGATCTCAGCCATCTCTAGGTTGGTGAGGTCTTCCCCGTTTGGTCCTTTTAGAGAACACAACCCTTGATTAGTAGGTTTTCTTTTGGACATGAACCTAAACAGATGTTTCGGGTTTGCCTCTATTTTCGCGGCTGGCTTCATATGAAATTGTCTCCTATCACTTCGAACTTTGGTATTGCATCTGTTTCTCAATGCCAAGTTGGAACTGTGATCGTAATCCTTCAAGAAGACCTTCCACTTGTGCCACGCTCTCCTCTTTGCCTGTAGCAAGCGTTCACTGCCGCGCCTAACCCAGGTTCTTCTATTCCCTGATGTGCGGTGTGACTGAGGTACGTTGTCTACGACAGCGTTTTGGATGACATCTCTCACTGTTTGCCGGTGATCATCTACTGTCAGTACCCACCACTCCCGTGGCCATGGCGCGTGTACTAGGACCTCTCTCATACGTGTACAGTTTGCCCTAGTGCGGCAAATATAGGGCTCGTTACTGTCCTGTGTGAGTGTTTCGTTTATCACCATGTTAAACAAGACTGTGCCATGGTCACTACTACCGATTGGTGTATGCACGTGAACATCCTCAACCAGAGGCTGGTCATTAGTAAACATATAATCCAGGTTTGAGGTTTTTCCTTCCTTAATCCACCTGGTGGCACTGCGTACGTGCTCAGTCAGCCTGGAGCTTCTAATGGCTGTAACAAGTTGTCTTTGAAACTAGCCAGTGTGAGTTATACTCTGATTGCTGAGATTTAGAGATGGGGTATTGAGATCTCCAACTAAGAGTATTTGATCAAACCCCAGGAGTGGCTGTTGCAGTAGGACCTCAGACAGTTTGCTTTTCTGGGCCTTAGTACGCGAGGGAGGTCGGTAAATCCCTCCAATCAAGTATTTCGTGCCTCTTTTGTGAAAACAATATCAACATGATTCTGTCACCTCAGTTAGTTGGGTGTCGCATAGCTGCTTGGCTTTTAAGTGGCTGTTTATATATATAGTCACTCCGCCTCCAGTTTCGAGTACCCTATCGCTTCGAAAGAGTGTCATGCCTTGCAAGCTCACTTCGTCGTCTGAAATTTCAGGGGATAGCCATATTTTGGCTGGGACGTTAGAACAAGGCTACTATGTCGGCTGGAGCAAGATCCGAAGCTAACGCTTAATGACATGGCTCATGAGTACGAACGTCTCACTAACCTACAATGAGACTCAACTATAGTTCAGAGTGGTAGTTCAAGCCGATCTGAAGTTCATTTGGTACAGCACCTACCTAATCATAATGAATCTGCCCATGCTACACCCAGTTCATCCCGCTCCAATTCTGCCCAAAAATCCAAAATGAATCCACCTTCTGCTTGCTGGCACTGCGGCTCATGGCACTATGTACGGAACTGCCCATTTAGGCAGCATAGATGCAGGAAGTGTAAAGTCATCGGTCATAAAGATGGCTTTTGCCTACAGAAAAAGCCAAACGGATCTAGAAATGCTAAAAAGTCTGTTACTAGAACCGGTACCAATGCATTGAGCCTAATATCTTCCTGCCGAAGCTCATCACCAGGTGAGAGGAAATTTATTACTCTTAATATTAACGGGCATTTGTGTAGATTGCAAATAGATACTGCATCTGATGTCACTATCCTCTCACGCAAAAATTGGACCAAATTGGGTAGCCCAAGCCTGCAGCACACAACACAGAAGCCTCGTACAGCATGTGGTAATTACTCCTGTCTGTTAATAAAATTCGAATGTAAAGTTGCCTCCTGAGATTGGTCATTAACTGAGGTATGTTATATAACGCTAGCTGTTCTAACTTTACTTGATTTAGATTGGTTTGACCAGCTAAAATTGGCTGATGTCCCGTTAAATACTATATGCAACCTGGTATCACAACAACATGACCCCGAGTCATATACGAAGAAGCTGATAAGAGTTCTCAACCATTTTTGAACCTGGATTAGGTCGGTGCACTGCCCTGAAAGCAACACTTCGGTTGAAACTTGTGGCTAAGCCTGATTTCCTTTCAAAGAGACCCGTACCTTATGCAACATTAGCAACAGTAGATGAAGAGCTGGATCGCCTTTCACGACAAGGAGTTACTACTCCCATTTGTTACTCTAGTTGGGCAGCACCAATAGTCGTTTTCAATGAGGCCCACGACACGATACGTATTTGTGCTGACTTCTCTACAGGTCTCAACACAGCTCTAAAACAGCATCATTATCCTTTGCCACTTCCAGCACATCTATTCACTACGCTGAATGGGAGAAAGCTCTTCGCAAAGCTCGACCTAGCTGATGCTTGTTTGCAAGTGGAAGTCGATGAAGCATCTAAAGAGATGCTTACTATCATCACTCATCGGGGTTTGTTTCAGTATAACCGTCTCCCTTTTGGAGTTAAGATTGCCCCATCTATCTTCCAACAACTAATGATACTATCCTATTGCAAATATCAGGGGTTGCAGCTTATCTCGATGATATCTTGATTGTTGCGAAGACGTTAGAACAGCTACGGGAACGCACGACATTGGTACTACAACGCATCAGTGACAATGGTTTCCGGTTACGCCTAAAGAAATGCCAGTTTTTATTGCAGTCAATAAAGTATTTGCAGTTCATCATTGATGCCGACGGTCGCAGACTGGATCACTAAAAATGTACGAGCTATCAAACTGATGCCCACTCCCACTAATGTCTC